TCCAGATGAGCATGGGCGATTCTTAAGAAGGCCAGCGACGCCAAATAGGATCTTGAGGACTTCCGTGATGTAGAACCCCTTTGTATCTATCTCAGCTTCATCATTACTGACATTTGGGGCCATAGGGTATAAAAATATACTCCAAGGCAGTTCCGATGGCAACGTTCGACGAAATTGAGAGAAAGATGCGCGAAGAGAACTTCAAAGTGTATCTCATTGGCCTCGTAAGATTGCCAAAAAATCGGGCAGGCTATTTAACGCATTGAAAAGTTAATGATTGGGATATATAGGACAAGGAAATCGCCGATTGCCACACTCTGATTAACCTTCAGGGAAAGCTGAACTGCAAGTTCGTTGTCGGCTATTACTTCGGTGATAAACCACAGCGTCCTAACCTCAAAGAGCGCTGGCCACAATCCTCTGAAGAAAATTTGAAGCGCCTTGCTGATGCTGGCATCCCGCTGGATCGCCAAATTCCGAAATGCGTCAACTGTGGCCGTAAGTTCTTTTGTTTTACTAATGTCAGTTTATCAAGACACAAAGCTGACTACACGTTTTGCAAGAAATGGGACATGGATCGCGTGCATGTCCGGACGAGCGTTCGGTTGTCGAGAAGGTGGAGGTTAAGTGTGTGAATTGTAACGGAATGGGACATCGTGCTCGCGATTGTACAGAGAAGCGGATTGACAAGTTTAGCTGTCGTAACTGCGGGTAAGGTAGAGCCGGCTTTGACGATTCAAAGGAAGCCCGGTAACCAATATTCTTCTAGGCAACCTGGCCATCGTTCGTCCGATTGTACGGAACCGCGTTCAGCTGAGGGAGTAGAATGTAAAAAGTGCCACGAAGGCAAGCATAGTGCCCACCAAATCACTTAAGGAAATGTCTGACAGTCTTCGATAGTTGGCCATTTTGCCAAGGATTGCCCTCAGGGTGGTGGATCCAGGGCTTGTCGCAATTGCGGGTTTGTCTTTACATCCCAAAATGCCTTCCCCTGAAATGGGGACAAGACTATTGACTAACATGCATTTCTGCAGTGAGGAGGGCCACATTTCTAAGGAATGCGATAAGCCGCGTAATTTGGACACCGTCACCTGTCGTAACTGTGAAGAAGGTGAGGGAAATCGTCTCAACGAATAGAGGGTACATGTTCAATCTAACAAGCATTTTTCGCGGTAGTCGGCCATTACTCTCGCGACTGCACCAAAAAGAAGGATTGGACTAAAGTTCAATGCAACAATTGCAAAGAGAGTAAGTCAGGAAGAGAGCACTTGGACATTTTACCCGTTCCATTTTGGCGCTGCATTCCACTGATGTTGTTGGATCTGGGTTAACTATGACTATGACAGTGGGCCATACCGTCCGGCGCTGCCCCAAGCCAGTGGAAGGAGAAAATGCAGGTGATGGTTTTGGCGACTACGGCTTCGGCAATAACCCAGGATATGATGATATGGGCGGATCCCGGAAAGATGATGGGGCGTTCCCAGAGGGCACTCCGAGCTGGATGAATGCTGGCGATGGCGGCACCACAGTCCCCACCTGGTAGATCAGCTCAAGGCCGTCGGCACGCGGGCGCGGGAGAGTTTTACGCCTTGCTGCAGGTGGTTTGTTTTGCTAGGGCTAATTGAGTTAAAAATAATTGTCGCTAGCCCCAACCACGAAAATGGGTTAGGTTTCAGAAAACAAAAGTTGCTACGGAGTACGGAGGGCGCTATTAAAAGAATTGCGCCGGCAAAAAGACAGCTAGATAGCGCCACAAATCTTGGCGGAAATTCCCACTGTATTTTATACTGAATATTCAGATCTTGATTTTTCCATTGTCTCCACTGCCACTCAACACAGAATCTGCCCCTCTTTTTAATATGTAATTTGCCTGCCAATATGCCATTCTTTTTAATGTGGAATCTGTCTGCCATTTAATATGGAATCTGTTTGTCAATTCATCACTCTGTATAATCAATTGAGTATTCTATTTCTTCATCTGCTCATATTGCCTTCCTTCTCTATACTCATTGCCATCTTCTAACTTTATAATCTTTTGAATATGTACAGAAATCCACTCAATTTATGTCTGTATTTTTTTTTACAGCAGATTTTTTCATATTTACTCTCATATTTTAACTGCTTCTATACAGTTTTTATAAGCCCTCTTTTTCATCATTCTGTGCTTCATTCAAGACCAAGCTGCTCGTAAGCAGCGATGTTGAAAATGACTGCTTATATTTCAGTTGATTCTTAGGACTCTACGAGAATCAAGCAGTAGAAGATAATACAGTGATATATTGAAGAGAATTCAGATCAAGTAGTTAGATATTGAAAGTGTAGAATGTAAAGATCAGATTATAACAGAATGATCTGCTGATCTTTAGAAAATTGAATCAGCTGCTAGTTATATACACACAGTATTGTAAGCAGATTGAACTTGCTATGATGTAGATGGTGTAGTATGATGCAAGTGGTAAAATAATACTTTGATTTCAAATCTGATATGATGTTGGTGGTGCTATATTCAGCAATATCATATCTTTAAAGCTATTGCTAATTCCAGCCTAGCACTGGCATCTTAGTGTGGGTTTCTTACAACTGCCTCCTCTGAAAATGCCGCTGTCCCGGCGGGCCAAAAAATTGTAGAGTAATTGTAGATAATTCATGGTAACAAATGACAGTGAACCTTTGTTGTTTCACTGATAACAAAAAACTTATAGAAGTAAATAGAAATCATAGTTGATAACACAGAAGTAAATAGAATCATAGAATATATGATTTCATAAAAAATATAAAAGATCAGAACTTTTGAGTAAATCTTGATTTTGATAAGCTATTAAAAGATTCCTTCCCTCATCTCTGAGAGTGATATTTGAAGAAAAAATGTAAGTAATCGCTGTGCTTATTGGGAAGGGGTTGCTAACTGACTTTGAATAGAATT